GGGGCCGGGCCGGGCCGGGCCAGGACCCCTGCCACTGACCTTGGCCGGGCCGGGCCGGGCCGGGGCCGGGTGGGGAAAGGCCGGCGCCGTTGCCGGCAGTCGGGCGGGGAATCTCACTTGGGACAGATCAGTGAATCTGTTTCGCTTTCTGGTTCCCGTATTTGGGTCATGTTTTGCTTGGGCCCAGTCGTGTTTCACAGGCCGCCCCCAGAAAGTCCAAACGCACTCTGGTCATGTGGGTGCATCCCATGTGGGGCACACTAGGAGCCACTTGAGTTTTGTAGACTCCCGACCGACGGGCACAGACCGGTGCTGGGCAGTCAGGACGCTCTCCAGGTGCTGGACCCTGGGGCACGGTTGGTCTGCAGGGGAGATGGCGCTGGGCTGCCCCACGGGAGAAGCCTTCAGCCCATCTCGCGTCCGCGGGAAGCTGGTGCGTGCGGACCAGATCGCGCACCTGTGTGGCGGTGTCTGTAGGCGAGACGCCGTCCCCCTGGAACTCTGAAGCCGGGGATGTGCACATCTGAGTCCAGCAAGCCAAGTGCCGGCGAAACGTAAATACTAAGAGCCGGAAGAACCCATTCCCGGTTTATTAGAAACTGCGCGTAAGAGAGGATGACTAGCGTGCAGTAATTAGCGTGTACATCTTCCAGCCCTAAACTTCTGCTTTGTGTGTCTTACGGATTCACAGTTGTGTTGTAAACAGCACGCATTGCTTCCGCTGTGGCTAGCATAGGCACTGCTTACTCACATCCCCATGAAAAACCGGTCATATTAATTACAGGCTAGATCATCTACTTCTCTTCCTGCTGGTGGAGACTGCCTGGTATCACTAAGTATTCCCTAAATACCCCAGCAAATTTTCCTTATATTTTGGGTTCTTAGTTCCTTCTGGAGTCAGGCATGGTATAAGGATTTCTTAAGGATAGGCGAGGAAAATCTCTTAAGGATAGGCCAGGAAAAAAAGAAAAATGCTGTATTCAGTATATATAGCAGTTCCCAACTCCCACCTCCCAAAGGTCATTTTAAGCTTAATCTGACCTTGAATTTTTAGATGGGGGTGAATCTGAAACAATCAGTCCAGTAAGAATCCCCCTCCCCAGCTAGTTTCTATATATTATAGAATATAATATATAGACCGTGGCTGCCCCCTCTGCCCAGCAGCTGTGGAGGGAGCCCCGGGGCAGCTGAAGGCCTGTGCCTTCAGAAGAAAAATAAATAGAAGTGCTTTCCTATTTCTGAACTGTGCTGTGTGCTTCTCGGGAACATCAGATTAGTAAAGTTGGGATGGACAAAATTTAGATGGAAGCATTATTTGAATTGAATTTTAAGGGTACAACCAGTACAACTCCAGTATTTGTCTATAATGAGAGCAAAGTTTTTTTTACTCTTCCCTTAATTATATCACAGTAATGATTTTTAACAACTAGCACTCTTCCTGGAAGAAGAAAAGTAAATAAAAAACAAACAGTCATTCACTTCAGCTTTTCTGCTGGAAATAGTCGTATTGCACTAATTCATAGTGGTAAGGTTAAGCACACACTTAAGTCTCTGCAGAATTGAAGCCTAGGTAGAAGACATGAAGTTTTGGGCTCTTGAGATAACCTTGGAATTGGCTCCATATCATACAGTAAATACTAATTGTATGTCTTATTAAAAAAAGATGGTGTTAAAGTGAGGTTGTAGCTGTGATAGTCCAGGAAATGGACTAACTGCGTGGTTTGGGATAACTTTGTCTAAGTGTACAGTTAGTCAGAAAAAAAATGTTACCTTTAGAAATCCATGTCTTGTTAAAGTGGTCCATGTGCAATATTAAATATAGGCTTTTTAAGTTGTTTTGCTTTGGAATTAACATTCATCTAGGTTGAATGGAGGAGCATTCAGATCTGTTATCTTCCTGAGTCTGCAGGCAATAGGAAATGTTTAGTGAGTTTAGGCCACATCTTGAGCTAGGAAGGTTTTGCTAATTTAATGGACAGTGTTTGTAGTCTAGATGTGGTTAAAATCAGTAGTTTATCTTTAAAAAAAACCCCAAAAAGTGTTCATGCTGGAAAAAAAACTATACTACTATAAAAGGTTTTATAGCACTATGACTGTATCTGTGCTAGAACATTTACTAGAACAGGAGTGTAAAGAATATACAGCTTCCCTTCCTTGCCCCACACTCATTACCAATATAACAGTGCCAACACAACTTTCTCTCTGCCTTTAGGCCAAATATCTGGAACATAAATCTTGTTTTAAAAATGAGTACTTAGATTCTGGATCCTAGTTCTGCAGCAAGTGGAAAATTATTTATGTAAATGTATAGTGCAGTTCCATGAAGGACTTAATTCATAGTTTAGAAACTGTAATGGGTTATTCATCTTTTTTGTTGGGAGGCTTTTGACTC